AAAAAAAAAAAAAAAAAAAAAAAAAAAAAAAAAAAAAAAGATATGCAAATGTATGATTTATGCAAACAAAGAAGAAGGGATTGTGTTTTTGTGTTCTGTAGGCGTGGGAGAAAAAGGTTGGAGACTGTAAATAAAGCCTGGAAACAAAACTATAGTAAAGAAAGGTTGGCGAGCCCACTGCTGCACTAATCGGCCTCCACCTTCTCCAGCTACAAGGTCCAGTTTCCAAAAACAAAAAAAAAAAAATCTAGGTCATTGTTTTGTGCCTGGGCAGTCAGATGGAATTTGGAGAGAGAGTGATCCTATAAGGGCAAAGGAGAAGGATTTACGCAGCAGTGAACAACTTATGAGAATAAGTTTATCAGCACCATTTAAAGAATAAATAGTGTTTTACAAATCAAAGTAACTTCTTATGGTTTCTCTTGACTTATTTCTACAGAAAAAAAGTAGAGGAGAACATGTAGAGAAGTGCTTTTGTCTGCTATAGCATCCATGTTTTTAAGATTGTCAGTATAGAAGAAATGCTGTAATGGAATAATGTCGTAATAACATTAGTCCCTCTCTGTGCCTCTGTGTCTGTGTCAGAGGGACAATGCATTAAAAAGTGTCCTCAGCAAACCTTCAGCGACTCCAGCGGGTGGCGCTGTCAGTCTTGCCACAGCTCGTGCCAGACATGCCACGGACCTCGTGCAACAGACTGCGACCTTTGTCCTGGTGGGAATTTTCCTGTACATGGACAGTGTCCTCACATTAACTGCCCACAGGGACAGTATTTTGATGGTAAGTAGAGGAAGCACGGTGAAAGCTGACTTAGGCTGGTTAAAAAAGAAGTTTTATGTGATCCACTGTAATCCAGGTAAATTACAGATTTACAAATTTACGAACAAAAGGACAGAATGACATGTCAGGTCATAGCTGAATCGCAGATAACACTCGTAACACGATACTTCTCTGAATCTCGGGTGGAAATGATTGCTTTTCTCCTTTGGGTGACACTGGAGGTCAGTACACTGTCCCAGAAATGTGGAGGGATTCATCGTCTTGCTCAAGGACACTTTAGGAAGTTGATACTTGCTGCTGAGCCCACAAGCTTGAACCCTGCTGAAGGACCTCTGGGGTCATCTGCCTCAAGCATCTACCTCTCTAGCCCCTTCTCTTTTGTGTCTGTGTCACCAGCACTTGGATACAATACTCCATTGTTCTTGTTATCAGCCATATACGGTTAATAAGTCGATTGTTTTAATTTCCACATCATTGGTTTCATTATTTGCTTACGCGTGTGGATAAGCCAGCTTCGTCAGGAGCAGTTCGCATTCAGCCATCAAGTATTTTTCCAAGCTATATACTGCTATTGTAAGGAAACAGCTTCATTTAAAACATTCTACTTCTTAGGTTTCGATTTTAACACAGGTGTCATTCACATATCTGTAAAACTGACCAGTGCTGTCACTTTGATTGAGCCAAGAGCTGTTATTGCGCATTTGCAATTTAGTGTATTTTCTTTTTAAAACACTAGTGCCTGTTTTATCCTTAGGCAACACTGAACATGAATGGTTTTAGAGCAATACCTTTTCTAAATGTTTGCTTTTGAATACAGAATGCAATAGTCCAAAAGCTCCTGATTATCATTTCTGTTTTTTTCTGCACAGAGCCCTTTCTTATACAGTCTATTTGTGCCTGAGACACTAAATCTTGTTATGGTTCCCTCTTGTGGTGGGGATGGTTAAAACAAGCTGTGTGCTGTATGTATATTCTTTTCCATCCAGGGAAATATGGTGAATGTCACACGTGCAATGTTTCCTGTAAGACCTGTTTTGGCCCACAGGCACTGGATTGTTCTTCTTGTTTTAAAGGTAATATTTACTGCTTTTAGCTTTTCAGAGTAAACTATCTTAATCGCGATGTTAATTCTTGATGCCAATCGTGCGAGTGTGGATGTGTGTGTATTTGTGCTTCACAGGATATTTCCTGGACCAGGACAGTTCCTGCGTAGAGCAGTGTCCACCTGGCTCATATGCCAACTCTGCCACTCAGCTGTGTGAGGACTGCTCTCCCAGCTGTGAGGCCTGTGTGGACACCAGTGATAACTGCATCAGCTGTTCCAAAGGCACCGATAAACTTTTTCTCCACCAAGGCCGGTGCTGGTCCAATTGCCCAGAGTAAGCAGTTTGATAAGCGGTGAAACAAACACGGAGCTATGCAATGATGACACGATCTTCTTCGTGCTTCGCTTCTCTTTTGTTTTCTCCCAACCGTATTGGGGTTATTTTTGTTTTGTTTTTCTTTAGAGGTTTCTTTGAGACAGCAGAGGGGTCGTGTGAAGCCTGTGATAGCTCCTGTCTCACCTGTGATGACATCAAATCCCAGTGTCTGTCCTGTGCTGACGGCTACTACCTGGAGAGTGGCATGTGTAGACTCAACTGTTCGCTGGGAATGTATCCTGCAGATGATGGTACCTGCAGACGATGTCCTCCCCACTGTGAAGTTTGCTCAGATGACAGGACCTGCTTCCGTGAGTTATTAGCACAGTCAGCAGATTTAAAAGATATAATGTTCAATACAGGTGAGAGATTTGTGTTATAAATTTTTCACCCCTCCAGGGTGCAGTTTCCTCTACTTGATGCTGAACGGTGAGTGTAAGGCTAGTTGTCCTGTGGGCTATTATGAGGACATGGAGGAGGGCCGCTGCGGTCAGTGCCACCCTACGTGTGGCAGCTGTTCAGGGCCTTCAGCAGATGATTGTGAGACCTGCTCAACCTACAGCCCCAAGCTCTATAAAGGTGTATGCTCAAAGGATTGCCCCGCTGGTACTTACTATGAGACTGCAGCTATGGAGTGTCAAGGTGAGCACCTGGATTCACAGATTTGATTTGGTTTTAAACACCAAATATGTGGAGTTTTCTTGTTACGGCTTCACCGTTCTACAGCGAGAATTCTTTCTAGTTTTCATGATGCTACTACGTAGGTTCAAAGACCATGAAGTCAGATGTCAAAATGATTAAAATACATTTTTAATCATTTAATCATTTTAATATTTATTCAATTTTGATGAAATTGAATAAAACTGTAGCAACTATGAAATACAACTGTCAAATTTCATTTCATTTAAATCCAATGATATTACCTCTGTTCAAGTTTTGGATTTGACCTTCCTACTAGCAGGAATTCTGCAGTGTTGCAAAGTTATTTGTTTTTATCCCTCAGCCGTAAAAGGCTGATGGGGTGTGGTTGTCACCTTGTGGAGCGGGTGGCTGGCATGAACACTCAAGTTTATGAATGTGATAACTCGAGAAGGAAACCACCTAAGACTTTTAAATTGATAAAATTATTAATTATTTAATTATTATTATTATTTAATGAATTAATTATTAACTAAAAATTTCAGAAAACTTCAAATCTCGGCGACCTCGACCTCAAGGTCAGAAGATCTTGTGAATGTGATAACTTCAGAACAAAGCAACATAGGATTTTCACATTTATACCATAGGTGCATCTACTAGGAGCCTGAGGGGTACTACTGGCACCACCAGAACTTTTAAGATAATGTTAAGATAACCCCAAAAGTAATATTCTCTTAATGTTTTTTCACAATGTGTTGCTGAAAGTACTTTGACTCACTGGACTTGCATCTGTGTAATATAGAGTTGGGATATCCCTTTGAATAAGTACGGTAGTTGGATAAATTAACATGTAGATGTGTTGCAATAATCATGCATAATACTCTGGTAATTGATCAAACTGACCCTTAGTGGGTTTGCTATTTTCAGTTTTGGTTTTACTGTTTGAAAATGTTGCCTTTTAGTTTAGTTTGTATTAGTTTTAGTGTTTATTTCATGTGCTGGAGGCAATGTTTCGGAAAAAATCTGGCACAGACTTTTTAAAAGCAGTTTACTCCCAGTCCTGCAGTATTATAGTATCTATACTATACTGTAGTGTTTATACAGTCGGACCTATACTACTGTATAAATTAGATCATAATGTAAAATAGATCAGCTTGCAGCACCACATTCGTTTCAGCGGAACTGCTGATTTTTTCACTATACAGGTCCTATTCTCACCACTTGAATTTGTATATCAGCAATCGGTTCTGGATCTCCTCCACAACGTTAGAAGTGTGACCCTTCAACTTGTCTTTCATTTTGGGGAAGAGGATAAACTCACCAGGAGCCAAATATGCCAGAGTTGGGCCAGTGGTGACAACACCACGTAGCACAGTGGAGATGCTAAAGTTTCTCTCCCTTAGACAGCTCAGCGTAATATAGTAAAGCTCACCACAGAGAATCAGACAAATTTATGGTGCAAGCTCTGTAAAAGTATAATAAAAAAACCCAAAATGCACATGTGCCGCCTTGAGGTTTGAACACTGTGGACTCCACACACACTAATGTCCACAGACATGAAAGTTAGGTTAGCTAGACTCAGAAAGTTAAATGTTTGCGCTGTGCTTGAGGTCCATGGAGTGGTTAGAATGGCACTCACACAGAACAGTCTATAAAGCGTGCACTAGAAGTCCACACCAAGTACACAAAGAAAAAACCTTGAAAGCGAGATCATCCAATTTTTTCCTCACACCTTCTATTAGACTTTCTTTTCCATACTAATTACCTTGAATAATGTTAAAGCTTGAATAAGCGTTAAAAATAAAATAAAACAGAAAATGTGTAACAAAGGGAGGTTAATGCAGTGGCCAAAAGCAATTACTAAACTCACAACTGAGTGATAATGAAATAAGCTATTTGCTTAAAATGAAATCCATTCACCTCTAAAACATGATTATTGTACCCTCTTGTGTAAATGTGGTAATGTGACATGAAGGTGTTGCAATCTGCTTTGCTTGGTTGTATTTAGAGTGCCACCAGACTTGCCTTAGCTGCACCGGGCCGGACGCCAACGAGTGCACCCAGTGCGAGAGAGGACTTGTGTTGGATCCAAACACGTTACTGTGTGGTGTGACGGGTGATACGGCCTGCCCACCGGGGACCTACCTACACAACGACCAGTTCACCTGCAAGGGTTGCCACCGACACTGTCTTTCGTGTGAGGGGCCAGGCAACGATGAATGCCAGACCTGTGCTGTCCCCAGATATCTTTACAGTGAGCATTTTCAACAGGTTTATGTGCAGACACAGAGGTGATTTGTGGTATAAATGAAAATCAGCACAAAACTGATTGTTTTAAAGTTGATTTATCATGCAAAGACAAAACAAATCTGAATCATTTATCTTTTAACTGTTAGCTCTACAGGTGCTTGAAAAAGCCTTTTCTCATTTTAATCACTAATGAAATTTTTGGCCCGAGTTATAGACTTTGCTTTTGCATTTAGTGCTCTCACAGCTGGCTTCATAATAATGGCTTTTGTAAGACTATTTGACAATTTCAGGTTAAACAGATTTATGCAGTTGTACTGGTTGCTTCTCTGAAGTGAGTACGCCACCAAGTTAAGGTGCTAACTCTGTTGCTGTATGCTTTTTTTTCCAGACAGCACATGTGTTAATATGTGTCCTGATGGCACGTATACCACAAGGCAGGAAGCTGATGGAAAGATGTTGGGACTCTGTTTGCCTTGTGACCACGTGTGTTCCTCTTGCACTAGTGCATCACCAAGAGATTGCCTTACGTGTTCTCCAGGATATCTGCGGCTCCTTCAGCTCTGTGTCACCCATTGTCCCACTGGGTAGAAAGCTCTGTTACTATTTGTGAAATGTTTACCTCAAGTAGACAAACAATTTCTGCAAACAGAACTTTATGCTTCAGTGACCCCAAACTAGAGATAATACAGTATTTGTTTTGGAAGTGAACCAAAGTTTCTTAGGAAGAAAGGGTGTAACGTGGTTTCTCCTTCTTCAGCAGCAAAGTAACTTTTTCTTAAAGCTTTTTTTTTTTTTTAATCAGTTACATATTTGACAAACATGAAGGAAATGTTTTAACCCATTTTTTTATGCATTTCTTCAGGTATTACAGGGAGGGCTCCCAGTGTCATAAATGTCACCAGTCCTGTGAGCTGTGTACAGGACCGGGGCCTGAGTCTTGCAGGGCATGTTCCCCTCCTCTGCTGGAGCTGAAAGGCACCAAGCTGTGTGTCGAACGCTGCCCACACCGCTTCTATCAGTCTAACGACATCTGCAAAAAATGTCATATCAGTTGTCAGACATGCATAGGTAGGTAGAGGTGAAATGTCAAACCAGTGAGTCAACAGAAACCCATTTTTAAGCATTCAGGCATGTTTTTTACATTTTATTTATTTTACTGTGTTACATACAGCTTTTTGTTCTAATCATTTCATTTAATTTCAGTTCAGCAAACAGAAAAATAAAATTCCTTCTGAAATGTAACACTGATGTAACTATTTAGACCATTTGCTTTCATTTTAACTCAGGAGTCTCTCTTTCTCTTAATCATCTTTGAGATGTTTCTGTACCTTGATTGGCACATGAAAACAAAATCAAAGGGGAAGCAAAAGGAACTCAAAAGCCCTCCCTAAAGTGCTTGTAGACATGACTGTGTGGAGGCACAGCTCCATATTCTTACAGGGAGCACATTTGGAGCAACAAGCACTCTTCCTGTAGACAAACGATTCCCAAACTGAGGAATCATGAGAGCAAGATTGTGGTACTAAAGGTGGTTAGGAACCTGGTGACCTCCAGAGAACCTGTGGTGACATGGGACAAATAGAATATGCATTATAGCAGCACTCCAGTGATCTGGGTACAGTATCTAGCAGCACAGCTTCATTCAGTAGTATTAAATGGGGGGGAAAAAAAACCCTCAATTGTTACTTTATTTTTTATTTTGTAGACTGACTGTTGACTGTGACTGTTGAATGGTTTTCGGATACTAAATGGTGGTATGCTGGGTAAGACTGTTACCTCACAGGGTCCTGGATTTGAATCCAGTCTAGAGTCCTTCTATATGTGGATGTCTGCATGGGTCTCTCCAGTTACTCTGGCTTGTTCTCACAGTGTGATGAACTGGGTTGCAACCACCACCTTTGACCCTGAACTGGGGCTTGAATAATTTCTGACTGTACTTTATATTTCCAAACTGTCAATATCGTGGATTCACTTTCTCATTAGGTATCTGCTCAGTGCCTGTATGTGTGTTTGCAGATGCCTCTCCTCAGGGCTGCTTGACTTGTGACTGGGGCAGCATGCTACAGGACAAAGTGTGCTATCCACGCTGTAAGGAGGGACTGTACTTTTCTGAAGAGGTGGGTTATGATTATGGCTGTTCAATATAATGATATATATATATATTGGATGACGATATAAAAACGTCTATCGTTTCATTTTATGCTATCATTTGTTTCGTGGTGTTGCAAAATAAACTGTTTACGGCAATATTTTTTCATGGTTTTGATGGTCACTGTAGTGGCTATATTAATTTCTTAAAGTTCTCTATTTCTCTTATGTTTAATATAACCACACTACTGACGGACAAGCGCCTGTTTTATGCGTTGTCGTTAGCAACAACGACGGTAACACCATCGCGTGTCCGCTTGTTTATGTTCCACATAAACCTTTCACAATAAAGCTCAAGATCCTGTTGAGACTTTTCAAAATAAATTAAATCTCGTGAAAGAGCAGATTATTTGCGGATGAGAAGTTAAAAAAAAATAGCCACCAGGCAGTGGCGTGTCTAGAAAATTTTTGTTGGGGGGGGCCAGGTAGGGGCACAGATTTGGAGAAGGGTGGCAGATGTAATTGGCAGATAATGTTTTAAAAAAAAAAAAATTCTACCAACCGTTAACCATAATACAATAATCCTATAAACCTAATAACCGAATGCGCTTTTAACTCTTATTAGAATGAGATTTTAACCACTACGGTGCAAAGTTTTTAGATACTGCGTTGATGAAGTACAAGAGATACAATCGGTGCTTTGTCAGTGTTTACTCAGCATTCAAGTACAGCAATATTTGCACAGTATTTTTACTGACATATATAGTGCACATATGTTCTGGGCAAAAACATTTTTGAATATTAAAATACGAACATTTGTAACAAACAATTGACAAATTAGCCAGTTCCAAAGTAAAACTTTATCTGCCTGTTAAAAAAAGAAGATAATCTTCTCACAAACTGGTGTTTAATTTTGAAACAGGAAAAAAGTGGGGAAACAACTGAAAAGACTAACATTTGAATAAAACCTGAAAGCAAGTAAATACTTTCTGTGCTGCCTTATGGTAAACTTTGGTAATATTGATAAAGAACAACACTGGCTGATGATGAAATACAGTCAGCTGGCATGGTGACACTGCCAGTAT